ATCAAATATATACGTATATAGAAAGAATTATGAAAATAATATACCACTCAAACAACAACAAAAAAAAGACTAAAATAGCATTAAAAAAATATATATTCATGACAACACAGAAGAATACACAAAATTTGAAGTATTATTTTCTGGAGCCAAAGCATAAAGATTTCTTTCTGAGCCAACTCTAGAGCAGTCAACATACAATTGCCCATGCGAGAAACAGGGTTGCTCCAAGTCAATGCCAGCAATTTTGAGGGACTGACCTTGAGCCTTGTTAATCGACATGGCGGGCTTGAGACTGTTGGGGATTCTCCAATGTGCGGCTACTTTGGCCTCTAGCAGCTCGGGCAGCCATGCGTCGAGCTGCAGGAGTTCTTACTCCAATTGCAGATCTTTTGCGAGGCATATCAAATGGGATGATTCAATTTGAAAATATGTCCTAAAAAAACAGAAATAGCACAATCAGTACCAAAGATATTTTTGTATATATATATATATATATATAAAAAAAGAAAGCTTTTAAGGAAAACAGTGCAGACCCAAAACAAATCCAAAGTATCAGAATAAGTTACACTAACCATGTTCACTAACCATAACTTGGTAACTAAAACAAATTTCTCTCTCAACATTTCTGCAGAAAAAAAATAAGGCAAAAAAAAACTAATGGCAAAACATGTCAAACAGGTCAATCTTTAGAATCCTCAACTATTTTTTTTCCCTAGCCTAATATCTGCGTAGACAAAAAGAAGGCAGCATAATTGAACTACCACAAACAAAATATACAGAAATGGCAACCGAATAAAATAAATGACAACAACAGACTAAATTTTAAACTATCAATGAAACATATGATTTTTTTAAAAGAATAACAAAACAAAGGCCATTACAACAATTAAAAAACAAAAGTTTCTAAATATTGTCAAATCTGCATTGTTTACTAACCGTAACATTGAAAAATGTAGTGCCCTATCAACATGTCAGAAAAAAAATAATAATACGAAAAAAAAAAACTAATGCCAAAATAGCCATGTTAATATTTTAGGCTGATAAAAACCAAAGGGTATATGGATTATAGACAAACACATGTTTTGGCTGTTAAATAAGACAGTAATTCATATTAAATTTTCACTACTGTATTTTTTTGCATATTGACAATTTTTGTTTAATTTTAAGAATTATCATATTGACTGTAAAAAAAAAAGGCCAGAACAAAAATTAATAAAAAAGTAAGAAAGCCATTGTTTACATACAGTAAAGCTAATTTTGTAATGCTTTTTTTAAATTGCATTGTGTGAACGTACCTTAACTTAGCAATATAAATTTTAGACAAACACATGTTTTGGCTGTTAAATGAGACAGTAATTCATATTAAATTTTCACTACTGTATTTTTTGCATATTGACTATTGTTTGTTTAATTTTAAGAATTATCATATTGACTGTAAAAAAAAACAAAAATTAATAAAAAATAAGAAAGCCATTGTTTACATACAGTAACGCTAATTTTGTAAAGTTTGCATTGTTTGAAACTTACCTTAACTTAGTAATATAAATTTCTCTCTCAATACTTTTGTAAAAAAAAGTGACACTCGTATAAAAAGATATTTTAAAAAAAGTAAGCAAGCAACTTGAAAAGAAATGCAGTCGCTTAATGGTCGCTTAATTGGCCTCGTGTTGTTACTTTCCCTCGTATTTACTCCGCGTAAGCCTCGTATTTACTCCGCGTAAAAAAAGTTCTTCAAATGAGAAAAAGAAATAGCCAAAAATAATAAGCAAAATGTAGCCAAAAATTTTCCTCAGGTTTATAAAAAGCGACATGCAAAATTTGGAACCAATTGGTTCAGTAGTTTTTGAGTTTATCGCGAAACAGACAGACAGGAATTGACTTTTATATATATAGAGATAGAGAAGAGATATGAATATTCCTTATGAGAATCAAATAGTGTACCTTATCTAAAAAAACGTAGTATCAATTAAATTAGAAAAATATTTCTAAACAATAATATTTCGAGAGTTTAATAAATACACTGCGTGACATTGAAAATGGAACACCAATAAATAGTGGCCAGAAAGTGATGAAACTCGGCAGACAGAGAGAGACAGGGACGAACAATAAGTGATCTTTATTTCAAAATGATAGTCATAATACAGAGCGAGAACGGCGTCGGCTTAGTAGCAAGTAGGACCACCGCGGACGGCGATGCACGCAGCAACACGTCTAGGTAGAGAGTCAATCAGAGTACGGATGGCGTCCTGAGGGATGGCTCTCCATTCTCTCTCAACCATTTGCCACAGTTCGTCTTCTGAACGCGGCTGTGGCAAGGCATGCAAACGGCGTCCAATGATGTCCCAGACGTGCTCGATTGGTGAGAGATCAGGAGAGTACGGTGGCCAGGGAAGCATCTGTACATCTTGCAGAGCTTGTTGGCTAATGCGAGCAGTGTGCGGTCGGGCGTTATCCTGCTGATAAAGGGCATTGGGTACCCCCTGAAGGTAGGGGAGTGTCACCGGTCGCAGCACATCATCAACGTATCGTTGGGCCGTCATAGTGCCCTGAATACGAAGTAAAGGTGACCTGGAATCATACGCGATTGCGCCCCAAACCATGATTCTACGTTGTCGCACGGTGGGGCGTTCCACAATTGCTGCCGGATTGGACCTTTCTCCACGTCGACGCCACACGCGTACACGGCGACTATCACTGGACAAGCAGAAACGCGACTCATCTGAGAACACGACCCTGTGCCATTCCGTCATCCACGTCGATCTAGCCCGGCACCATTCCAAACGTTGGCGCCTATTCGGTGGGGTCAATGGCAGTCTTCTTAGCGGACGGCATGAGTGCAAGCCATTAGCAACCAATCGACGGGAAATGGTTCTGGTCGAGATGGAATGATCTAGGGTGTCTTGCACATGTTGCAGGATGGCGGTACAAGTGGCTTGTGGGGCCGCCACTGCTTGTCGAAGGATACGCCGATCCACACGTGCTGACGTCACTCTGGTTGCACCGGCATTCCTATAAATTGCCACATTTCCTTGTTCCGACCATCTTCTCCACAGTCGGTGCACCGTGGACGCACCAAGGTGTGTATCAGCTGCGATTTTAACGTATGGACCAACCTGCCCTTTTCAGTCCGATCACCATGCCCCTCGTAAAAGCGTCTGTCTGCTTGAACTGCCTCCGTTTACGATGACCTGGCATTCTCTGTTATTACACGTGTCTTTTGACACAAGAACAAAATTTCTACAATGATTTTCCTTGAAGAAATAACGACACGAATACTGTCCTTTCTGCAAGTTCCTTCCCTTATATCTTACTCCATGTGCGCACGAGAGCTGCGCATTTTACATCATTTGCATAACTCGGTTAGGCGCGTCTACCCTGAAATTTGCATAATTTTCTGGCCACTATTTCTTGGTGTTCCATTTTCAATGTCACGCAGTGTATATATAATCTTACCTTTTGAATAATGCAGCGTGTAAACAAACAAAATAAGTGTAAAATTATTAACCAATCAAATTCGTCGCGACCAGTGCGGCGCCAAGCGGCAAAAGGCGGGAACTAATCCATTTCAGTTAAATAATTTTTTAAAAAAAGTACATTAACCTTTGTAGTTTTTTGAATAGCCTATATGTTAAACGAAATCTTCAGCTACCTACATGCGAAATTCCATAATGATTGAGTCAGTAGATTTTGCGTGATGCGATAACAAACATCGATTTCGCATTTCATTTTTATATATATAAGGAAAGGATAAGGATTGCCGTAAAGATAGAGGCTGTCTGGCCGGCATTCATAGTTCTTCAAATAAAAGACACTTCGGTCAGTAAATCTTTTTATTATCTCGTAAAGTAATTGTACTATGTATTCGATAAAATAATCCCTTGAATCAATATTAAAATAAAAAACATAAAGCCTCCAGGGAAAATATTCTTTTAAAAATATTTTTTTATTTAAAAAAATATATCGAGCTTTCGGGCAAGTATTAACCATTTAAAGCATTTTCTCCTGTAGAAGGGCTTACTTGCCCGAAAGCTCAAGATATTTTTTAATATCTCGTGGAATACAATTAAATGGAAGATGTGGTTCATAAGGCCATGTGCATCTTTTCCTGCTCTATCCGGTGGTTCTAGTTACGACAACATAGACCTACTATTTCTCGAATTATAGAGCCGTGTTAAAATGTATTTCCCAAAGTAATACAACGTGGAATACAAATAAATGAAAGATGTGGTTCATAAGGCCATGTGCACTGTTTCCTGGTCTTACCGGTGGTTCTAGTTACCACAACATAGACCTCCTATTTCTCGAATTATAGAGCCGTGTTAAAATTTATTTCCCGGAGTAATACAACGTGGAATACAATTAAATGGAAAATGTGGTTCATAAGGCCATGTGCGCCGTTTCCTGGTCTTACCGGTGGTTCTAGTTACCACAACATAGACCTCCTATTTCTCGAATTATAGAGCCGTGTTAAAATTTATTTCCCGGAGTAATACAACGTGGAATACAATTAAATGGAAAATGTGGTTCATAAGGCCATGTGCGCCGTTTCCTGGTCTTACCGGTGGTTCTAGTTACCACAACATAGACCTCCTATTTCTCGAATTATAGAGCCGTGTTAAAATTTATTTCCCGGAGTAATACAACGTGGAATACAATTAAATGGAAGATGTGGTTCATAAGGCCATGTGCGCCGTTTCCTGGTCTTACCGGTGGTTCTAGTTACCACAACATAGACCTCCTATATTTTTAAAAGAATCTTTTCCCTGGAGTCTTTTTATGCTTTTAATTGTATTATGTATTATACATTCATTTCCCTGAAGAGAGTCACAGGATGTTATTGAAATGCCAGGAGTTAAAATAAACTATTAGTTAATGTGGTCTGTATTATGTATTCGCCAAGTAATAATATCTACTTATATAATTGCCTTATTCTGTCTGTGTGAAGTTCACTGTGTGAAGTTCACGGATAGATTTTGGTCAGAATGGATAAAATAAAAAAAAGTGTCAAGGGATGGGAATCGAACCCACGACCTTCCGCTTACCGGGCAGAGATGCCATGACCACTAGGCCACATGACCACAATTTATAATTGTAACAAATAGTATTTGAATCAAAACATTCAATCGGGTAAAACACAGGCGTTGCCCGGGTCATTCGGTTAGTTATTAATAAGCGATAGAACTCTTCCTGTTTAGATAATCAAATAAAATAAAACATGAAGGAAGATGAGTTTCCTTTTTAATAAACGCGAGCGAGCTTTAATACATAATACAATTACTTTACGAGATAATAAAAAGATTTACTGACCGAAAGTGTCTTTTATTTGAAGAACTATAAAAGCTGACCAGACAGCCTCTATCTTTAAGACAATTACTTTATACAGAATACATTATACATAACGGCGAATAATATTGGTATTTCATTTTTTTTGCAAAGTGTTCACTAACTTTATAATAATATTATTATTCACCAAGTAATAAGAAAAAAACAACGTTTTGGGAAAAATACGAACTTTTGGGACAACCTTATATTATTGTGCGACATTATACATAAATAGTAAAGCACAATTTGGATTATAGATTATAAACACAAGGTAATAAGACTAAATCCAAATAAATAAATAGTGTGTGACGTTTCTGTAACAACGTTGTTACGGAAACGTCACGCACTATTTATTTGGATTTGGTCTTATTACCTTGTGTTTATATATAAATAAAAAGGGTTATGGGCTCAACATCAGTAGCAAACCTCTTCGAAATAATAATTACAGTAAAAAATCTATGATAAAATAACAAAAGTAATAAATATTATGAAACTACTATCACTAAATTTTATTTATTTTAGAATTTAAAAAATACACTTATAGACAAAACTTAAGAAAGTGGAAATTCTTTGATATCGTCAGTCGTCTGGTTTTTTTTTTAAGGAAACAGAGATAATTTTGTTCACACTTGGTTATCTCGTATGTCTTCAATAAAGGTTACTGTAATATCGTCCAGAGTTATTGTATGAATCCTGATATACATGCTAAAATGTACAACTTCATTAAATTTTGTTCATGAGTGTATTGTCTGAATCCCGATATACATGCTAAAAGGTACAAATTCCTTAAGTCCATGAGTGTATTGTCTGAATCCCGATATACAGGCTAAAAGGTACAACTTCCTTAAGTTTTGTCCATGAGTGTATTGTCTGAGTCCCGTTATACATGCTAAAAGGTACAACTTCCTTAAGTCCATGAGTGTATTGTCTGAATCCCGATATACATGCTAAAAGGTACAACTTCCTTAAGTTTTGTCCATGAGTGTATTGTCTGAATCCCGATATACATGCTAAAAGGTACAACTTCCTTAAGTTTTGTCCATGAGTGTATTGTCTGAATCCCGTTATACATGCTAAAAGGTACAACTTCCTTAAGTTTTGTCCATGAGTGTATTGTCTGAATCCCGTTATACATGCTAAAAGGTACAACTTCCTTAAGTTTTGTCCATGGGTGTATTGTCTGAGTCCCGATATACATGCTAAAAGGTACAAATTCCTTAAGTCCATGAGTGTATTGTCTGAATCCCGATATACAGGCTAAAAGGTACAACTTCCTTAAGTTTTGTCCATGAGTGTATTGTCTGAGTCCCGTTATACATGCTAAAAGGTACAACTTCCTTAAGTCCATGAGTGTATTGTCTGAATCCCTATATACATGCTAAAAGGTACAACTTCCTTAAGTTTTGTCCATGAGTGTATTGTCTGAATCCCAATATACATGCTAAAAGGTACAACTTCCTTAAGTTTTGTCCATGAATGTATTGTCTGAATCCCAATATACATGCTAAAAGGTACAACTGCCTTAAGTTTTGTCCATGAGTGTACTTTACTGTTCTTTCTGCGAAATAAAAATTATTGTAAGGGAGGAATGGGCATGACTCATCAGTAGTGAACCTCCCAGTAGAGGGTTAACCACGGTATGTTAACCACTTCTACTAAGTTTTCCATCCCAGAAAGTACGGTAAGACAATGTTCATTTCTTTCTTTATAATGAAAATAAATTTCTCGCTTAAAATAGTTTCAAAATTTAATAACAGATGGCGCCCTATATCTTTGTATTGAAAAAAATAGTTAACTCAATAAAAGATGAATTTTCCGAACGAAGAGCTATGAGTAACCGTCGTCTGAAAAATACTTCAGATTGTATTATTCGATTTTTGTCGTGATATAATTATTTAAAAACCTTTAAACTTGATTGCTAATTATGAAACATTAAATCTAAGAGAATAAGTTAAAAATTAATTTAGGTATCATCAACTACACAAAATATTTCGAGGGATTGCTTATTTTTCTCCAGTTTTTGATATTAATAAAATGATTACATTATGTCTCGTAGACATAGAAATTTACAATGTAGTTGTTTAACTGATTGTTAAACTCAATGTTTCCATGAGGTGTATTGTTTATTGACATTTTATTCTATAATTTAATTAATAAATTGTTTACATTCACTATACCTCGTAGATATAGGAATTTACAATGAAGTTGTTTAACTGATTGTTAAACTCAATGTTTCCATGAGGTGTATTGTTTATTGACATTTTATTCTATAATTTAATTAATAAATTGTTTACATTATACCTCGTAGACATAGAAATTTACAATGCAGTTGTTTAACTGATTGTTAAACTCAATGTTTCCATGAGGTGTATTGTTTATTGACATTTTATTCTATAATTTAATTAATAAATTGTTTACATTATACCTCGTTGACATAGATATTTACAATGAAGTTGTTTAACTGTTTGTTAAACTCAATGTTTCCATGTGGGGTGTATTGTTTATTGACATTTTATTCAATAATTTAATTAATAAATTGTTTACATTATGTCCCGTAGACATAGAAATTTACAATGTAGTTGTTTAACTCATTGTTAAACTCAATGTTTCCATGTGGGGTGTATTGTTTATTGACATTTTATTATATAATTTAATTAATAAATTGTTTACATTATACCTCGTAGACATAGAAATTTACAATGTAGTTGTTTAACTGATTGTTAAACTCAAAGTTTCCATGAGGTGTATTGTTTATTGACATTTTATTCTATAATTTAATTAATAAATTGTTTACAATATGTCTCGTAGACATGGTAATTTACAATGCAGTTGTTTAACTGATTGTTAAACTCAATGTTTCAATGAGGTGTATTGTTTATTGACATTTTATTATATATAATTTAATTAATAAATTGTTTACATTATACCTCGTAGACATAGAAATTCACAATGAAGTTGTTTAACTGATTGTTAAACTCGATGTTTCCCATGTGGGGTGTATTGTTTATTGACATTTTTCATTACAAAGCAATAATGCGCCATCTATATATAAAATGAAAGGATTTAATCGCGAATGTTTCTTTTAATAAAGATACATTAAAAGAAACAAGACAATAAAAAGAACATCCATGCTTAAATCCTTTCATTATATTGATATTTTATTCCATGTGAGGATATTGTTGTATACCGGCAATGAAGGAGGAGAATCTGACTGGTGTCTTAATAAAGGCTTTGTGTGTGTGATTAATCAATTGTACGATCACAGGAGATGCCTTTTTTTCTCAAATTCTGTTCAAAGCTCGCGGTCACGTATGCTCCTGGCGCGATCAACTACGATCAGCGAACGCTCCCATCAGAGGTTATGTACAAATGAGAGGTTTAAGTGATTTTTTTTTGCTTATCCCTAGTACACGTGGTACAGTCCATGATAATCATGGTGGGTAGAAGTAGGCGACTGCTTTTTACTGTAAGTGCACCACAAGTCTACACATGTGAAAAGCAATTCGACTTTGCACTTACAAATGTGTCAGAGCTCTATTTGGTTACTTGCACTCGCTGGTGGGGTTGGACATTTGCAAGAATCAGGGGCTATTGGAGCATTTTTTTTTTAATCAGAAAAAAGTGCCCAATGCGGGAATCGAACCCGGGTCGTAGCGGTCGTAAACCAACGGTTTAGACCATCCTTCCACCGACCCCCGGTTTAAGTGATAGTTTATAATAGGTAAAAGTATTTATTCGATCTATTTACAATGAAATTAACATTTATAAATCAAAATTGAATTTTAAAAGTTGATTAAAAATGGTTATATATTAAAATATACAAAGAGGAGATAACAAAAAGGAAAACGTGTAATTTTAAAGATTAAAAAAAGATGTAATTATATAGTTATTCAACTTTATAAAAATACTAGACGGGTGACCCGGGCTTCGCCCCGGGATTGACCCGTGTGCATATCTACCCGAGTGATATATATTTAGATAAGATTTTTAAAAATAATTGTTTGTTATTAGCATTATCTATTTGTTTGCATCAGCATAATTTAATCGTTGATAGAGGGCGCTGTTCGTGAGCTAAGTAGAATAATTTGAATATATAGTTTTAATAATTGATTTATATATTTTTTAAATTAGCCTATCGTCTTCCCCGGATTTTTTTTACCTATGTATGGGGAATTTTGGTTTGAATTAGTGAACTACTGCGAATTTATATACCGGACATACAAACAAACAAACATACAAGCATTGATTTATATATATATAGATTTATTGGTTTAAATAAACATTATGCAAACATTCATGAACCAAACTTAAGGAAGTGGGAATTATTGATGTCTCCAGTCGTTTTCTTTTAAGGAGACCGAGACAATTTTGCTCAAACTTGATTATCTCGTGTGTCTTCAATAAAGGTCACTGTAATATCTTTCAGAGTTATTGTCTGAATCCCGATATACATGCTAAAAGGTACAACTTCCTTAAGTTTTGTCCATGAGTGGATATAGAATATTTTTTTCACACTTGGTTATCTCGTGTGTTTTCAATAAAGGTCACTGTAATATCTTTCAGAGTTATTGTCTGAATCCCGATATATATAGTTTGCTTAAATACCATAGCCAAATTAACTCTACCCTCTCGGATATATAAGCACAATTGTCCAATACAACAGTAGAGCTCTAAGAAACGTTATGTTGGTTTAAACTCTGGCAAAAAGAGGGTTCACTACTGATGAGCCAGGCCCTCTCATTATTTTTTCATCGCA